TGAAACCGGAAGGGTATCACGCTTTGCGCCTCACTGTTGTTTTTGGGGTGTGGGGTTGAGGGTGTAGAAGGTAAGAAATTATTTTTAAAAAAAACTGAGAGAGACAATTGGATGTTTTTTAAAAGAAATCTGAACATGACCTTCATCGAGCTGGCTTTGAAATTCAGCGGGAACAGATTGAGCAGGAAGACCCGCGTAGGTCCAACGTCTCCGGCCCAAGATCCCCCTGGCAATTTATATATCAGAGATATCTGTGCAGCCAGAGAGCCATACTGGCAGTAAAAGAAACAACAGAGAAGCCAAGTGCAGAGTAGGAAAAAAAAGTCTACTCGATGGGTTGCAATAAACCATAGTTTGTTTCGGCATACACACTGGAGAACCAACCTTAGAACTAAGGCGAAATTTCCCAACAGGGAGAACCGTCAACCAGTGGGGTGACTCACCTCCAGAAGTTGTGGGTGAGGCTTTCAAGGAAAGATTGGACAGCCACCTGTCTGGAATGGTAGAAGGTCCCCATCTTGGGGAAGGGATTCGACTAGAAGACCACCGAGGTCCTTTCCAAATCTGGCGTTCTCTGTTCGTGTCCAACCCGGGCGTGTTTAAATTCTGCCCTGCCAATATTCTAACCCAACGTGAGATGGAACCACTGTCCTCTACCTACAGCTGTAAAATGTGCGCAGGCGACTTCCTGTACAGTCAACCAAGTCACAAAACAGCCCTGCTGATTTACAGCAAGCTCCCCGTGGGCGAGAGAGCTTAAGTAACAGTCTGCAGCCAGAAATATTTTAATTAGCTCTCTGCTGGACTCGCGGTATTTAAAAATCAATGAGTGGCTGCACACTAAAGCCCAGGTTTGCAACTTTTCTTCTCTTTGTATAATTGATCCCACCGTGGCCCAAATACACATGTGGCAAACTCCACAGATTTCTGAAGATAACTAGTCCTCCCCCCTCCCGTTGTATGGATTAAAAAGCTGCATTGCTTGGATTTTGTTTACATACACACACACACGTACACACGTACACACACACACATACATAGTATGTATCAAACATATACATATATATATGTATATATACATACACACATACATACATACACCAAATCTCACATGGCCTCCTCTAAGCTGCACAATAAGGGTTTGTTTGTTATTTTATCAAGCCCAATTTTATAAAACAAACTGAGTTGAAGAGAAAAGGGTATCTAATTTAAACTATTTATTTATTAACACACACACACCCGCTTCATTGTTTATAAACAACTAACTCAAGGCAGCAAACATCCTATCTAGAATTCCACAGGAAGGAGACTCGTATCACTAGATATTTAAAGAGCACCATGTAAGTTAGGAAGCTGCCCTATATCAGTCTTTACAATATTCCGCTTTATCGCTGTCTGTCTGTCTGCCTGTCTGCCTGTCTGTCGTGGTGCTGATCCAGCAAAAATGCCAATAGCCAAGCATGACAAAATGGCACAAAACAGCAGCCCCACAGGAGCTTGTGACAGGTTTCAGGGCATCTGTAAATTTGGATGGTGGGTGCCGGGAATGTTTCTAATTTTATTTTCACTAACCTCCACCTGAAATTTAGCCTGCCTTGCAATAGACTTGGTGGGTTAGTAAGGAATCAGCTATATTAATTAATGTATTGCATACATGCTCTTTTTAAATATTTTGCTATCTGTTTCAGAGTACAATTTGTCTTTTTTGCCGATGTTCCTCCATATTCTTGTATTTTACTTGGGGGGTTTTAATACTCTATTCCGGAAAGGTTTTGCACGACACTCACTGAGGAGGCCCAGGGAATGAAAACGTTAAGAATTCCTGCTTTAGAGAGAATCTTCCCAGAGGTCAGGTGATAATAAAACAGGAGATCTGGATGGTGGAAGAAAATAACCCCACTGTTAAATCAGAAGCTTTGATCCCAAGGTCTGCAGCTTAATGTGAAGTCTCGAGATGGAAAATTCAGAATAGGAATACACTGATCAAGGCTACACTTAGGTGTTTTTTTTTTTCAGACAAAAACCTATTGCTGGATGATCCAGTAATATGGGCAATGCAATTTCTTTTTACAGATTTTAAAGAATTTGAAAGAGGTTCAGTCAGGCTGCTGTTTTCGTTTCTAATTTTTAATACTTTTCTCATTTTCACCTTGTTTTAAGACAGTGTAACCTCTCCTTGGCACCTAAATAGGTGCAAGAGGAAAATACGTGTGCTTGAATGTGCAATAACAACATAAATTACATGTATTTTGAGAGTGAACAAGTGGGGGGGAAAAAGCTAAAAAACAACCAATTCTCTCTCTTTTTTTAAAGGCATTTCAAAAAAAAAATCAAGACTTAATTTTGATGCATTTAATTGGGAGTATACAGTTTTTACAGTTTCTTTTTAAAGAAAAAAAAAAAGCACTTGAGAAATGATGCAGAAGTTTAATTTGGATACACCTGTTCAGGCTAGAAATAATTCATTACGGAAAATGGAAATTAAAACCTCTAATTTGTGTACACCTGATTTTTTAATATCAAACCATTATCTCAGACATATTTTTAATCAGCGACACCACAGTCTATTTCCTTTCTCCATCTTTTATCTGCTGTGTGTGTGTGTGTGTGTGTGTGTGCGTGCTTCTTTTTGGGAAAGCTATTTAGTACCCAACGATTGTGTGTGTGCGTGTGTGTGGGGGGGAAACCACACCAAAACATTTGTTCATAATTATCCAGACGTAAATGTGGAACACAACTGGTACAAGAGCAGCATGCGAAAAATGTATTTAAGGTCTACCCTCCCAAAATGCTGCTAAAAGCTATTAACCAGTACGTGTTAATTGCCACAGCATTCATATTAATTTTCATTTCAGGCCCGACATTGCTGAATATTTCCCTTGGTACGTTTTAAACAAAGTTTAATTTAAGGAACTGCTTCTATCAACACTTATGAAAATTAACAGCCGGGCAATTAGTACTCATGAATTATCCTTTTCCCCCCTGCCTCCTTGCTAAAAAACAGTTGCTAACAAAGAAATTGTTGTTGGGTGTTTTTTTTCAGACAGGGGGCCAGGATCTTGGACCCCCTCCTGAGCCCCCCCTTAGCCTCAAATTCGATGGGCTCATCCCCAAAGAGCTGAAGTATGTTGTGGCAGGGAAGTTTAATTTTTGCTGCATTTTTCAGAAGTGCAAGGCAGAGGTTTATTTTTTAAAAAAAAAAACAAAACACAATCATTTCCCCCCCCCCCCCCCCAGTTCGAAAGCTTCGGGGTGTTTGGTGATCTATTGCTTTCACCACCTTGAGCAAGTCCTAGAAACTTTGCACGGATGGACCAATACGGACAGGAAAGGAGCAATTAATTCAGGATGAGGGTCTATGAAGATTCTCACGTCATCCAGGTTGTCCCAAAGGTGCAACACACACAAAGGTGCTTCCCCCCCCCTTGAAAACGAAGAACTGAAGAAGCTTCTTGGGTGAAAAGCAAAACGTCTTCGAGGAAAAACGAAGTCTGTTTTTGCCTTTGGGACAATTTAGGATAATAAGGTAACAACAGCCGTCGCGCGATCCATTAAGCATTGCTGAGCACCCAAAATCTTTTGGAGATGTTGGAATGCTAAACCCAGCGTACTTTTAACACAGGCCACTGCTCTCTGGAATGGCTGAGAAAGGTTAATTCAGCAACACACACACACACACACACACACGATCCGTCACTAAATCTGCCCTGCTTTCAATTTGAATTCACAACGTGATTAAAAAAATAAATAAATCACAGAAACCACGCAGAGAGGTTCTTATGTTGACATTAAAAAAAAAATATCAATAATTTTTTAAACAAATCTTTCCCTCTTTAAGCTTTTTTTTTTTTCCCGGGTTTCAAATACAACAATTTGAATTCCCTTTTTATGTAGGTAGAGTTGCAGGGTTGTTGTTTTTGTGTGTGTGTGTGTGTGTGTGTGTGTTTTTGTTGTTGTTGCAAACATTCATAAATCCTTCGCCTGGGAATAGAAAAACGTGCCTGATTTGCATAATTAACTCAACCAGTTGGGTCTCTTGAGGAAGGAATGCCTAATTGGGAAGAGATGGGGAAGTTTATTATGGGGGGGTAGGGGGGAGTTTGGGGGGCCTAATTAAGCATGCTTTTTGTAAAAAAAAATAAATAAAATGTCCCTACTTAATTATATATTTACTCCAGGGGCTGGGGGTGACTCTTGAAATCTTTTTTTGTTTGTTGTTTCAAAGTGGGAACACCGGCTTTGATTTTCTCTTTTTTTCTTCTTCTTCTTCTTCTTCTTCTCTTTTTTTAAAGAATAAAGTTTGAACCATCCGGGGAACATTCCATCTCTCGACTGGCTCACTAAAATGTTTATTTTGATGGGTAAAGAAAGGCAGAGCGAGAGCGATTGAAACTCGAGAAAGCAAGCTGGCGGTAGTTAAGTTGATCCTTCGCTGAATTTTTTTTTTTTGGGGGGGGGAGAATGATCGCTGCTTTTGAATAACAGCTGGGGGAACAAACCAAAAAAAAAAAAGCGACCACCTCAAAGCGTCCAAAACGCAGTGATAAAAATACCTCTTCAGGGACCCATCGCGCTGGCATGTGTCACTCAGGCCTACCAGGTTGCTTAATTGTCACAAGCGATATTTTATCGGATCTAGAGCTTTGTTCTCACCTCCAGAGGCCTTTAGGAAAGCCTTGCCAACCTTGAAGAAATCTTAATTAGGGCTTATTTGATGGGGGTAGGGCTTATATTGGGCGAGAACGTGTAAAAACCAAGCCAGGACTTACTTTCAGGGTAGGTCCTATTTTCGGGGAAACAGGGTAGGTTTGGTGGGCCGTCACACTGTTGGCATCAAACCCCTTAAAGGTCAAGATGTTCCTTCCAGGAATCCAACCCCCGTTTCAGCCCCCTTCGTCCGAGCTGTGCTTGGATTGGAAGGTTTGATTTCGGGAGACCTCCCCCCCCCCACAAAGCAACCGTGAAAAAGGAACGCGGAGCAGCGGGTCGCTGTCGCTTACCTTGCCGTCAAACTTGGAGTATTCGTTGAAGGGGTTGTTCAGCTGCAGAGGACACTGTTCCAGTCGGACTGAGAGGATGGATGGCTTCACAGGAGCATGGGCAGGCTTCACTTTGAAGTTCTTCTTCTCAAAGAGGTGGCTCAGCTCTTCGGCTGGGGTTCGAAAGAAAAGAGAGGAACATTGAGACATCTGAATGGCCGCGGAGATTCTCGGCCCTGGTGGCCTCAAAGGTGCCTTCTCAAAAAGGCGACTGGACTTTGTTGTTCCTTTGAGAAGACGTTTTGCTTCTCATCCAAGAAGCTTCTTGGATGCAAAGAAGTGAAGAAGTCAGAATGGAAGAAGCTTCTCGGATAAGAAGCAAAGCGCCTTCCTCAAGGAAAAAACGTTGCCCAGTTGCCTTTGGAAAAGCACCTCTGAGATTACAGTATCTGCTGGATGATCCCTCCAAGGCTGAAACCTCCAATGGAAAAGCTGGTCTATGGGGAACTGGAATTTAGCTACAGTTAGGTAACAACAAGGGACGTGGTGGCTCAGTGGTTAAGACGCTGAGCTTCTCAATCAGAAAGGTCAGTAGTTCGAATCCCTAGCGCCATCTAACAGAGTGAGCTCCTGTTCCTTGTCGCAGCTTCTGTCAACCTAGCGGTTCGAAAGCATGTAAAAAAAAAAATGCAAGTAGAAAAATAGGGACCCCTTTGGCGGGAAGGGAACCGCATTCCATGCGCCTTCAGCGTTTAGTCGGAGACGTTTTTGGACAGCGGCTTTGGAATGGAGGTGAGCACCACCCCGTAGAGACGGAAGTGACCTATGTGCGAGGAGAACTTCTACCTTGACCTTTAGGTAACATGGACCCTGTCCCTGGTCAGTTATCCAATCCCGAAGCAGCTACTCCATGTTACACACACTTTTATGAGCCAGTGGCCGACGGGACAACACTGAGAGCTTCTGTGCCAGAGGCAAATCCCTTGTGTGTCTACTCACACCTGGCCAAATAAAAGTATTCAGTTCAACTCAGTTGCCATGGGGTTGAGAGGGATGTGGAAAACTCTTACACTGAGGGTTGCAAATATGTAGTTGAACCTTGAAGGGTACCACTGGAAGCCCGTGGATGTTTGTGGCTTGGTGAGAGCTTCCAAAATTGGGAGTTTTTAATGGGATAGGAAGGGACCTCGTGAAAGTGGAAGCTAACCATCCCATCAAGAGAAGATGGGGAGCTTTGGTATATTGGAGCATCAACTCAACCTAGGAACTGGGGGGTAGGGACACACACTTTGTCAGATGTTCAGGATGAGCCAGAAAGTTCATGGGTAAGGCAAGGGTGTCTTTATTTTAAAAAGTGAAGACAGGTGAGCTTAGTTGTCAAGACTTGTGGAGCTGTTGCCTATTGCCGATTGCCACTGGTTTCTTCTCTGCTCAGCCAATGTGGAATTGGAGGGGGGTTTCACCACACATCTGCTCCACGAACGAGGTGCCCCCCAAGCTCAATCCATCACCATTTGACAGATCCGCTTCCAAGCTACCAATCTTGCTTACTCCTGGATCTGTAGACGTCCCAAAGATTTACACGCTTGTCTCTCTCGAGGATTGGAACGGAGGTTCGGGCAGATTGAGCGAGGACTTCCAAAACTGGTGGGCACGGGGGGGGGGGGGGGATGACTCATTTGTTAAATGGCGGGATTAAAGCTTGTCAAACTGGAGCCGGCTTCACGGAGACGACAGCTCGAGCCAAAAATATTGAGATGGAAGAGGTGCGGGTGGGTCACCATTACAAAAAGAGAAGACCCCGAGATAACTAAACCGAGCTGAGTTTAACTCAGAAGGGACGGATTCAACAGTCACGATCGTCACTAACACCAAGTATGTCACAGCCTTTTTATCTAATTTGAAGAGACCAATCTGCTCTGGAGAAGGAAAAAAATGCCAGAAAAGAAATTCACGTCTAACAATGAACTTGAGACACGGTTATTCCGTTGAGTGTCATCGGTCTGGTTTGCTTTAGCTCATTTTAACAGGGAATTTTTCCCTTTGGGAAAAGATTGCAAGATCCTGGGCTCCTGGTTTGTTTGGCTGGCACAGATGCTGATTCCATCTCCCAAATTCTTTTCTGCTGAATGAGTGATGGGATGATCTGGGGAAACTGTGATATGGCACCAAAGATCAGAAGGTCTGGCTTGATTTGGGGGTCATTAACGCTCTCTGCGTTCGGTTGTTTTCTTGCAGACGTTTCATCACCTGACTAGGGAACATCATCAGTGCTGGAAGAAAGTGAGGGGTTTTGCTCTGTTGACGTACCAGTGGTTTGATTTGTCATTTGCTATGGGGAGGGTTTTCAAGCTTCTTCGCTCAGAATTTGAGCAGAGCACTTCCCAAAACGTAGATATTGATAATGCAGAGGAGCAAAATACAACAGTGTGCAGTTCATAAATAGTGAACCAATTATTTCCATGTACTGTGTAAACAAGGAGAAAGTGGAGAAGATTTGCTGTGAAGACTGAAAGGAGTCAGCTGCGAAGGCCAATTCTCGAATGGCTCAGCGGATTTTGCAAGGAATCTGGCTGTGTATTCGCCGAACGGATACGCTTTAAAGCGATGAAAAGTGACACAGATCTCTCCCTTAGGTTACAAGCTCACAGCTTCTTGGAATAAAAATGGAATATCTCCCACCAGTCCTGCTTTGTGCCCCTCAGAGGAACAGCAGCCTAATAAATAAAACAAGGGTCTGTGTGTTGTGAACTAAGAAGGCGCACAACGGAAGCCACCCCGTTTTGCTGTTCTCGAACAAAGAGGACAAAATTAATCTGCTTCAGATTAGCAGCTCCGATACGGCAGCAAGAGTGCAGCTCAGGACAACAGAAGCTTGAGATAATTCCCTTTACGGGGGTCCGAAATGGAACAGCGCCCCCGGCAATCTCTAAAACCGATTCTGTTCCCCCAAATGAATCTTATTTGGATCCATCAGGACAAAAAAACAAAGAGGAGGCCTTTGCCCAAAAATTCCAGCTCTGACCACCTGTGGCTAAACGCGAGTGTTGGACTACAAGTCCCATCATCCTGCCTGCTCATGAGACTTTCTGGCTAGGGATGATGGATGTGGAAGTCCAGATGGGCAGCACGCGCGAATGGATGGACAGCTCATGTTTTCGGGTGAATCCTTTACAGGAATTTTCTCCGACGTTACTTGTCTTTTCCCACAAATTGTTTTCATCCTTTATCATGCAACGATTTACAAACTAACCAGGTTTTATGCATGAAACCGGCCTGGAAACAAATAATGAATAAAATAATATATATATATATTTACCAGAACAGGTGGCATTTCTCTCTTTCCACTGCACATTTTTGCATTTGATTTGATTCTGCCTCTCTTTCCTTAGCCGTTCAAGTCTCTGAGCTTAGAAAAAGGGGGGAAAATATATATATTATAATGTTTAAGTTTGTCAACGAAAGTTTGCTATGAACAAAAGACATAATTAACTACCTTTCTATGAATAAAGATGTTTTATGCTGCACATCTATGGTTGGGGGTGCATGCAATAAAATTTTAAAGGTGGCATCTCTGAAAAGCAAATACCAACAAAAACATGAAAATGTTCTTGATTTATAATTGAAATTAGAGGATATAAAACATTAATAGAGATCATAAAGATAGTATTAACATGGAAGAGAATAATAAAATGTGAAAACTTCTGTGATTAATATGACATTTCATTATATAAATCATTAATAACGGTCTTAAAGGAATTTTAATGCACAAATGAACTGAAGTGAATATTACATTACAGGAATAAAATTACTGTTATGAATTACTCTCCCCGTTTCAAAAATTAAAGATAAATGAACTCAGACTAGACTATTAAAGTTTTAAATATAAAATCTTTTATCTAAAAAAAAAATCATGAAAATTATAAAATGTCAACGCTATATAAATTAGCATAGCTTTTCCTTCCCTGTGCTTGGAACAGTTTATAGGTAGTAAAAATAAATGATTTGTATCTGTGCAACATTAGTCAAATCTTAAAAAATGAATATCATTTTTCCTCTTTACATATTTTCGACTCCACATCCAAAAACAGTCCACGCTCAAATGGGTGAAATATCAGTAATCAGGAGACGGATATCTCCGCTGCCACTTGGAATTCTCTTTATGTTTTAAATGTCAGATTATTCCCCACCCCCCCCCCCACCCCCAGACAAAGAAGAGGAACAATTGGATAAACTGGTTAGGACTGGGATTTTTGTTTTTAAAGAAAAAGCTCCTAGAAAATGACACGTCAAAACTTGGATTTTTTTTTTTTAGCCAAACTGATGGATGACTGAGAATCGCCATGTAGACAGACCCCTAATTTAGTTATTTTCCCCCCTATGGTCTGTTTTATTTAGCTCCACCCAAAACAAATAAGGGAATAGGTGTTTATTTGTTTGTTTCAAACAGGGGGAAAAAAATTGCACCCCCTTTGTTACTCGATTCCTTTAACCAGGGATGTCTGGAGTTGACCAGGGCACGTTCTTTCTTTCTTTCTTTCTTTCTTTCTTTCTTTCTTTCTTTCTTTCTTTCTTTCTTTCTTTCTTTCTTTTTCTTTTCTTTTCTTTCTCTATGATTATTATTAAGTGTTGTATCTTATGATTCTTGACCCTTGATGGATATATCTTTTCTTTTATGTACACTGAGAGCATTTGCACCAAGACACAATTCCTTGTGTGTCCAATCCCACTTGGCCAATAAAGAATTCAATTCCACTCTACTTGCCTTGACTCTATCATTCTGAATTCCATTCCATTCCATTCCATTCTCTATCCTATCCTACATCTCCTCCTTGGAAGAGCTCCCAAGATGCTCCCTGAGGGACTCACCTGTATTTGAGCGCCTTCGAATGCCGAAGTCCCAGCTTGAGGTAATGTCCACGGACTGAGAGTACACGTAACCCTGAGGTTCGCCGTTGCTGCTTGGTCCTTCCGAGCTGTCGTCCCCGTTGGCCGAAGCCGGGTGGATTCTTTCCAGGTCAACGTCGTGGTCGATGAGGACCATTTCACACATCCCCGTGTCATCGCTGGTCACATGCGACTGCCGGATGTGAGCCAGGATAATGGCTGGGTTATCCAAGAAAGCCATCCTGAGCCACGCTCTGATGCCTTCCCCTACTATCTCCTCCGACCCATGCTGAACCAATGTCTTCGTTACCTGCGGGACCAAAGGACAGAAGAGGACAAGCTTAGGAAAGGGTGCCAAGCGGGGTGGCCCTTGACTTACAACAGTGACCATTTAGTGACCGTTCGAACTTACAACGGCACTGGAAAAAAGGGGACTTAGGATCGTTTTTCACGCTTACGACCAGCGCGTGATCCAAATTCACAGGCTTGGCAACCGGCAACGTGCATTTATGACGGTTGCGGGATCGTGTGATCGGCTTTGGTCGCCTGCTTGGGGGGAGGGGGGGTTGACTAGGTGGCCTCCAAAGTCCCTTCCAACTCGGTCCTTCTGCGTTTGCGGCCTTCTGACAAGCCAACTCAATCGGGGAGCCAGATTCTCTCAACAGCCCTGTGACTAACGGAGCCGCCGTAAAGAAAACCACCAACCTCAAAGAACACCGAGAAGCCCACAGCTCAACCCCAAAACTAGAAACATTCTTTTCTGTCAACAAGGTATCCATAATGTGATTTAGGCAACGAGAGCGGATTACCGAGGACTGCTCTTCATATTGTATTATTATTATTATTATTACTACATATTATTACATATTATTATTATTACGTATTATTATTATTATTGCATGAAACAGTCAACTGAACATTCAAAAATTCATCATAAATATCGACTGGCTCTGATAGTTGATACGGATTGCTGCCAGCATCATAGGTATCTATTATTATTATTGTTGTTATTATTATTATTATTAGTATTAGTATTTATTAAACGTGAAACTCAGTCAACTGAAGATTTAAAAATGTATCACAATTATTGACTGATTGATTGGTTGATACGGGTTGCTGCCAGCATCATACGTATCATTATTATTATTATTATTATTATTATTATTATTATTATTATTATTATTAACCACTTGAGGCACTTCAAAGACCCGGCGAAGCTAACTCCCAGTCAAAAATTACTGCTGCCCCATCCACGCCTTCGTCGTATAAACGCTGGCATGTTAATTGTGTATTTATAAGATTGTTAATGGTTAGTTAATTTACCTCCCATGCTATTATTGTGCTTGAAAATGATTTAATGTCTGCCGAGGGAGTTAAACAACAGGCTAACAGCAGGTGCAAAGGCCCATTTATATATTTATTTCCATCTTCCTGTGCACTGAACCCCAAATTCACACCGTTTACGGCCTGGGTGGGAACCTTGGAAAGGATGCGGGCACCTTTCTGGCACCTTCTCACAACTGGCACTTTTTCAACTTGCACATTAGTCCAAGGGCAAACGGCAGTGGGGGGGGGTTACCATTTGTAAATATACTATTCCCGTGTCAGGATCTCCGGCTACCAATACGGTGGGCAAAATAACAGCAGAAAAGCAGGAAGAAGAACTCAAGACTGTCTGGTTTTTTGTTTTTTTGGAAATAAATGGGTTTGTTTGGACCGATGTCAAAAAAAAAAAGAAAAGGCAAGAAAAATTTGGATGAAAACACACACATGGGTTGGAGAAAAGGATAAAGGCAACACATACATTTAAAGCCAGAAATATTTTTTGTTAGGCACAGTACCAGAAAAATATGATTTCTTTAAAAAACAGATATATTTAATATTACAGGTTTTGACGGCAGCGAGAATTGTATTTGCACAATACTTGGAAAAACAAGGAATGTTGCCCTGCACTTGGAGCGGAGCGGCTGGAAGGATGGCTCCAGTTGGGACGTTGAAGATTGGATTGGGGCATGTGATGGAGCGATGGACGCAAGGGATGGATTCTTGGTTTCTCTTTGGGGAAGGGGAAAATCCGAAACTCTCCAATTCAGGGTTTTCCCAGATGTGCCAATATGTCAACTCTAATAAAATGGACCTTTGAGGAAATGCATGTCTCGGAGTGTATTGGGTTGGAATTGGTTAGTTAGAATGCTGACATTAACCCAAATTTTGGATTTTCCCTCCCTAATACTCTATTTTCCTTACGTTCTCTCCAAATGACAGCCCCCTGGTTCCGCGGGTTCAAAAAGCCGTTGAAAAAGGACGACCGTTAAGTGAGCTGTGTCTCCCAAATCATTAATAAAGCATGGAGTTTCGGTGCATCTTGCAGGAAAAAATAATAATGATATTTCCCCCACTTCCCACAGATAAATGCTTTAGAGGAATGTGTGATGTTAGCAAAGAAGGGGAGGAAATATATCACAGGGGCTTTTTTTTGTTTTTGTTTTGCAAGAACACATCTACAGTTTGTCAGTTTCAGCTTTCTGCAGTCACTAGAGTGGAGGATAGTAAAAAAATAATTTAAAAAATAAAAAAAATATATCTCCTGTTCATGGCAGGATTGCATTGTTTCCAAATTAAGGTTTCTTCAATCCGGCCCTTTCCAGCAAAATGTGTCTTCTCTGCTATTGACACCATGTTCTTTGCCATGTGTCAATTCCCAGGTACTTGACACAAGAAGAGAGACAACGGATGGGAGGAGAAATGTCAGCTCCTTTCAGGGCTAATTGAAAAAAAAAATTAAGACTGGAAAAGAGATTTGTAAATTAAGCAGGAATGCTTGGAGGTGGACACAACAGGAGGGGCAGGAGGAAGAAGAGGATGAGGGGCAGGAGGAAGAAGAGGAGGAAAGAAGAAGAGGAGGAGGAGGAGGAGGAAAGGAGGAGGAGGAAGGAGAAGGAGAAGAAAAGGAGGACAAAGAGAAGAGGAGGAAGATGAAAGGAGAGGAGGAGGAGGAGGAAGAGAAGGAAAGA